CTCACCCCCACAACCCCCCCCACTCACGGCCGACACACCCTTCACTCCCGGCGGAGTCCCACCCCGAGGCGGGTCGGAGCGAGCCGTGCGGAGCTGGGGAGAAGCGGGGCCCGCAGGGAGCCGGTGGGAGGCAGCTCGCCCCCGCCGGCCTTCCCGCGGCCCGGCTCCGGCCTCCCTCTCCAGTCCCCCCACGCTCAGCGCCCGCGACCCCAGGAAGGTTTCTTCCTCCTTACCCAGCTTGCCACGGAGCAGAGCCCCAGGACGCTCCCCATCTTCACGACGTCGCGGGAGCGGCGGGCGCCGACAAGATGGAGACGGCCTCCTCCTGGCTTTTCCCAGCTTATTTACTATCTGGAAGGCACTTCCGGCGCAGCGCGCAGCCGCCCGCCTTCGCCCCGCCCCTCCACGCGTCACTTCCGCCAGGGGTGGGTGGGACCCGGAGCCCCGAGCCCTCGCGGCCGGGGGTGTTGGCTTGGGCTGACGGCCTGTGTCTTCCAGCCGAGTTCCTCACCGACTCTGGTCCAGACTCGGGCTGACCCTGCCGGCCACCTTCAGAAAACAATAGGAGGAAAACCCCACCTCTTCTTCCCGTGTTCCTGAGTGTCCGCGTTCGCGGGCACAGACTGCGGTGGCGCTCGGCCCATCCAGGGCCTTCTTGGCTCCGCGTCCACTAATGTCCCCTCGGTTCCCCTCCGTCGTCCCCTGCTCCGTCCTTCCCCCATTTCCGTGCTCAGCCCGTTAACGGGAGACAGTTCTCCCGGAAAGTCTGTGTGTCACCTGGACGCTGCAGGACTGCTCCCGCTTCTGCTGGCTGTTGATGCGCACTTTAACCTTTGTCCTGGTAAGGGACAGATGAAATTCGGACCTTCAGAAATTAAGCAGCCAAGTGTTCATTATAAAGACGCTGTTGACCGTCCTTAGCGGGTAGTTGCTTGGGTGACACTACGTTCCCTCAGGGAATGGATCCATCTGAAAGTTCCCGGTTTTATGTAATGATTGATCGGCCTTTGAAAACATCGTGGGAGAGTTTGACACACGGGAATGATTCCAACTTGGAATCGTTATTGCTACAGCTAATAATATGGAAATGTCTCACAAAATCCACGAAAACTGCCTGCGCAGGGCTGGAAGGTGGCTTCGTGGTAGAGTGCTTGCCCTGCATGCATCCAGCCCTGGATTCAATTCCCCAGCACCCCATGAACAGGAAAAGCTGGAAGTGGTGCTGTGGCTCAAGTGGTAGAGTGCTAGCCTTGAACAAAAGAAGCTAGGGACAGTGCCCAGACCCTTAGTTCAAGCCCCAGGACTGGCAAAAACAAAAACAAAAAAGACAAAAAAAAAAAAAAAACAACCCTGCATGCACCAGATGAAATAACATGAAAGCAATCTAGGAGGGCTGCAATCATTAGCTGATAGGCCACAGAAAAGGAAGGAATGGTATTGGATAAAATGATATTTGTTTGTTAGAACATCTTGAAAATCGGAAGTAGGATACAAAATTTCAAGTAATTTGCATTGAAGTGAATGTTGAAGACAGGATTGAAGAAGACAAGCAGAAATGTAGAGTTAGAGAAGCCCTGAATTCCACATAAGATACTGTATTCCACATACATACTGTAATCATCAGGGGAAAAACTTAAATTCGTTTGTACCTTCTGACTTTGGTTGTTGTGTCATTTTATTGTACCCTTTTCTCCAAGATCTGTATTTTTTTTTGCGGGTGGGGCTTGAACTCTGGGCCTCGGCGCTGTCCCTCAGCTCTTCAGCTCAAGGCTAGCGCTCTATCTCTTGAGCCACAGCACCACTTCCGGCTCTTCTCTTTTTTCTTATGTGGTGCTAAGGAATCAAACCCAGGGCCTCATGCATGCAAGGCAAGTGCTCTACCACTGATCCACCTTCCCAGCCCCAGAGTAATATCTTAATCATAAAGATCTTGATATCTATGCACAGTTTGTTTAATCACAAACCCTTGTGAAGACATTTTGTACATTTTTCAATTATTTGCTATCAGGAGAGCATCTGCCAAAGTAAACTAAAATGAAGAGGCTATGTAGGATTGTCCAGTTCCACATTTTTCATTCCCATAAGGTAATTCGTCTGAATGTTTAATGTCACTTAAAGGTACTATCTCAAAAAGCTAAGTGTATACTACCACAAAACTAAACCTGTTTAAAATATAATATTTTAGAAGCATTAAACAGAGAAGCATTTAGAAGCATTAAATGTTATAACCATGAACTTTTCATTGTCCTCAGGAAATAAAATTGTTCCTGATTGCATTAGTCCTCCACTCCTATAAGAAGTAATGATAGTGAGTTAGTTAATGTTAAGGACCTAGACCACAACAATCTATACTACGATACCTTGTATTGACTGACCACACATTCCAAGTTCCTTCCATTTTTTTCCAATTAATCCTTTCTCTACAGTGAATTGATGGGTATACATATTTGTGCATTTAAATCAGCCACATTTAAAATATTAAAAAGTGTTACACTAACCTATAAATATGCACAATTCTTATGTTGTATACATTTTAAAAATACAGACTTACGAAGCTTATCCTGGTAATAGTAAACAAATTAATATAGAAGTTTTATGAAATTCAGTATTAATGTCATCCCCAGTACAATATGTACAAAATTTGTATTTATATAATGGAATAAGTTACTCTGAAATACAAACATGTTAGCTCTCCATCATTTAAGTGTTGTGAGAATATTGATAATAATTTTGCTTTTAGAATATATTTGCATGGTAGTAAAACCATATCTTGACATAAAGGAAAAGAGAAGTGTATACCATGTTGCTCCTTCTGTAATTCCTTTCCATAATCTATAAGAATAATGGTTTGGAATTTTGTTCATCATATAAAAAATTTCCTCTTTCACATGGAGGAAATATGTCTCCACCACAGTTGACTATAATTCAGCATGCTCTCAGTCCTATCTTACCTATATACAATTTTCTATATAACTTCAAAGTTAATTGTTTTAATGTACCTTGGGCAGGAAAAAATACAGCAGACCTTGAAGAAAACAATCAGCTCACATTCTTCTGAAAGTTACAAATTACACTGTGATCACAGAAACTGAGACAAAGGGTGAACCAATGCAACAGTGATACTGGGCACTATTCTGGAAATGAATTTTACAACTTGAAGGGGTGGATAGTAGGGGGAAGAGAAAGCAGGAAAAATAAACAGGGAAGGGTAACATTGTTTGAAAAGAAAAGTACTCATTGCCTTATGTAACTGTAACCCTTCTGTACTTCATTTTTACAATAAAATAAAATTTATAAAAAAATTACACTGTATATTTACTTTGTCCTCAGTAAATTAACACTGAAACCAATGCCATCTAAATAAATAAACTGAATTTGTAGATACTTTCAATTGTATAATAGAAGGAGAGAAAGGACATACGAATATGTCATGACTTTTATCCCCAAATAATTAAATCCTAATTGTAAACATTTGACATTTTAACCAAATTCTTAAATACTTAACTACATTTCCTGTAAAACAACCTAGAAATTAGAACACTGACCCATAGGGGTCAGTATAAACTTAAAATTGGAAGAGACCATCTCTTACTTTGTCAGTGAGTTCATACTTCGATCTTTTAAACATAATAAAAAATTCTCCATAATTATTTTATTTTCTTAGTTGTAGCAAATACCTAGTGTTCTTTTCAAATAGATAATATTTTGCTGAAGACTATACAAATAGTTTCTTTGATAACCAGATATATTATCCTAGTGAAGTAAATGTTGCAAGAATATATTTCATACAGAATATACAGAAGTTTGGGGAAAAAGTAAACCTTCACCCTATAAACAACCAAGTAGTTAGAGAGTCCAAACATGTTTCTAAGGTGGAAATACTATTTTATAAGCATTTTGAGACGGTAGTGATGACTTGAAAAAGTACTAACAGTTCCCTAAAACACTATGCATCTTTGAGCTGAAAGCTAAAATGCATAAGAATTACTGACCTTACATAAGATTCCATAAAAATATAATGGAGAACACAAGGTATTCACCAAAAAATATGCTTTATTATGTTATAGAAAGAAACCAATGCAGGCTGGGAAGGTGGCTCAGTGGTAGAGTGCTTGCCTTGCATGTATGAGGCCCTGGGTTTGATTCCTCAGCACCACATAAACAGAAAAGGCCGGAAGTGGCACTGTGGCTCAACTGGTAGAGCTCTCGTCTTGAGCTGAAGAGCTGAGGGACAGCGCCTAGACCCAGAGTTCAGGTTCACGACAGGCAAAAAAAAAAAAAAAAAAAAAGAAAGAAACCAATCCTACTGCTTTGGTGTTCACCACATTTTTTGACTCTTATAATTATGTTAGCCAGGTGCTGGTGGCTCACGCCTGTAATCCAAGCTACTCAGGAGGCTGAGATCTGAGGATTACGGTTCAAAGCCAGCCCAGGCAGGAAAGTCGGTGAGACTCTGATCTCCAATAAAACACTAGAAAACTGGAAGTGGTGCTGTGGCTCAAGTGGTAAAGCTTTCGCCTTGAGCTGAAGAGCTGAGGGATAGCGCCCAAGCCCAGAGTTCAAGCTGCACAACCTACAATAAATAAATAAATAAATTCATAAATGTTATTAAAGTAATACATAGTGATCACTTTCTGAAAATCCAGGCCACCAGAAAAAATACTTTCTCTTTCCCCTTCCACAATGCTCACCCCCTTCAACATCTCCCCACAGATTTTTCTAAGTAGACCAGTCTCCTTTTCTTCAGTTAATTCAAAACAACATGTTCCTCATTCCCCACATATTTTTGCTTATTACAATATTTCTTAAGTTATTTTCATATTCTTTATTTTCTGTTTTGTAAAATGGTTGTGTGTGTGTGTGTGTGTGTGTGTGTGTGTGTGTGTGTGTGTGTTTCACTTGGGACCATCAAGTTGTAAAGATATGTTTTTACCTAGCAGTTGTACTACCCATGGACTGATAAATTGTACCAACCATGGTTGGACAAGAATACTAAATTGATATTAGTTCTTTTTTGTTGTTGATCACAGGGCTTAAACTCAGGGCTTGGAGCCTGTCCCTGAGCTCTTTTCTCAAGGCTAGTGCTCTACTACTTTGAGCCTCCAGTTTCCTGGTGGCTAATTGGAGATAAGAGTCTCAAGGATTTTCCTGTCCTGGCTGACTTTGAACTTTGATCCTCAGATCTCAGCCTCCTGATAGCTAGGATTTCAGGTGCCCAGTTTTTGTATTTGTTCTTAAATTAACCGAATTATTTCTCCTCCTTTCTTTTTCTTCCCTTTCCTATTCTTCCATCTCTTCCTCCTCCTCCTTCTTGTTACCCTTCTTCTTCATCTTCCTCATCCTCATTGTCTTCC